ACATGGCTCCCTAATGAAAGACCAAACCAGCAGAAAAAAACATGAGAGCTGCACGCTGAGACATGTTTTGTGGATGGCCCCATCAGAACAAACATTTGCTTAACTTAAACACACATTCACCCACACAAGCGATAGAGTCCAGAGCAATTTCATAGGGTGATTTTGGAAAAGAAAAAAAAATTTTTTTTAAAACTCTCCAACTTGAACTCTTAATTCTTGATTAGAAAGAAAAGAAATTATTGAATAGCAATCACAGCCTTCACAACCAAAGGTAAACAAAACTCCAGACAGAACTGTAGCAGCCACCCAGGAACGTTTCAATCACCAGCTTTGTCAGCTGACAGTCTGAGGCTACTACTTGCATAATTCGGTTTGGTAATGAATTGCTGAGGCTTCAAGTGAGATCCACAAAATGCTATCAAAGTGCCCCTACAGTCTGTGGAAATATGCGTCAGATGATCTCAGGGGTGGAAGATGCCATAGCGTCTATCATTTAGCCATCCCACTGTTTTACCTCTAGCCAATGACCAATCCCGTCCCTCCTGCCTGAATGCAGAAAGGAAGAGGAGAATAAGACAAACAGCTACTGTCTGTTTACTGTGTACATTAGCTCTTTTAATGCCACTGAGTAATTCTGTACAAGTGAAGTCACTTTCACAGTTTTCTAAAATAAGGGGCTAGACACTGACCTTGCTCAACCTCACAGGTGCTAAGCGGCATATTTGCAACTTGAACCCAGGTTTGTGATTCTTTTTCATTATGTCATGTGGCTTTTCTAAACTAAGAAAGAGCTGGTTTTTTGTATGGGGTTAATTCTTTCAGAACATTTTCACATATAACTTTTACCTGGACATCCCAAAATTTTATGAGGTAGGCAGAGAAGTTATCATTTTCCTTTTTTTTTTATCAAAGAAGAAATTGTCCAGACTGAGAATAAGTGGCTTTCTCAAGGTCACACCCCACATTATTAAAAGAACCAGGCTCCCTTTTGACTCCTGATCCAGGGCTCTTTTAACTACATCATTCTGTCCCTGTCTTCCTTTCTGTCCTCACTGAACTTGTAAGAGGGCAGATCATCAATCTCTCTCTCTCTCTCTCTCTCTCTCTCTCTCTCTCTCCCTCTCTCTCTCTCTCTCAAACTCAGAGAGACAGGGAGATCTAGGTTTAAATGACTTTAAAGAAATTTGCAAACTAAATATTGCCTTCAGAATTCCTTCTATCTTTATCCTGAGTCGTCCCCCATGCTGTGCCCGGGTGCTCAGGGTACCACTCTTAGCTCATCTAGAATCTCCCTCCTTAGACAATGCTCCTTGGAAGCAACCTTTCCCATATCAAGGGCCTCGTTTCTTGGGTCTTTCAGAATTCTTCTGACTGCCAAGAAGCAACAGTTAACTAATCAGATGAGTTATCAGTCATGTGTAAATAAATACTAATATATATATATATAT